GCCGCGGCCCGATTGTGTCACTTTTCCCGTCCACCCCGCCGTTGACTCTTTCTCCCAGCGGAGCAGCGAATTGCAGCTCCCCGCCAGACTTCGTGGGTACGCCCAGGCCCAGGGGTGTGGGGCGCTGCGTGGAAGGGGGACGTTTGCGCAGCCACAAAGCACAACCCAGCGGGGACACGGAACATCCCCTGGGGCAAACCTTCAAGGACCAGGTTCCATTATACTCAAAGGGACACAGTGGAGCTCACAGCTTCTCCTCTCCCACAACCCCTTCTCTTCTCAGGAAATTCGGGGCAGCTCTGGGTAGCTGCTCTGCCCCTCTTGACCTCCGGGTAGGCTTCATCAGTGAGTTAGGAAGGGAGGCAGCAGGTAGTAACACCAAGCAGTCCCCTTCTGCGCTAAATCTCAGGTCACCCCCTCCTAATAGTGACAGAACAAACGCTTTATACCGTTCACTTCGTGTGGGGCTCCCTTTGGAATGCCTATCGTGTTCCGACTCTTCATTCTCCACTGTCCCTGTGAGGCAGGTCCTCTTACCAGCATCGTCCTTTGCTATCTTAATGAAGAAATGGAGGAGCAGAAGATAGGTGACAAGCCAGGAGTCACTCACCTAGCCAGGAGCAGAACTGGATTTGGACCCAGGTCTTGCATTTAACCCCTGGGCTGCATTGCCTGCTTACTGTCTTTTAAATTAGACATACAGACCTGTCCTCTCTCTCTTCTGGAACTTTTCCTTGATTTAACAGTATTACAACTTCCCAGACAGTCTAGGAGAAATGCCTCAGTTAGAAAAAGACTTGGTAAGTTCACTGAAGCTGCTAACCCTTGAGAATCACCTGTTGTTCCACTTCTTAAGGAGGAGGGGGAACAGGTATTGCACTTTAACAGGAAAAGGTCTTAGTACAAGTAAGTTTGCAAAGTGGACTTTTAGGCTTCTTGGCCGGCTGGTGGGGAAAGATATTTAAGACGCACGGGGTTCTTCTGACACCTCATAAACCACATTGAGGGGGACCATCACTACTTCTAAAGCTTGGCCTGGTGGGAAATAACTACATCTGTTACTCAGTTAAAATTTCCATATCATTTATTTGATAGCCCATCAATCTAAGCGTTTCTCAATGACCAAGTATGCTTTTAACTTAGTTTTCCTCCCAACTATTATGAGTTCAATTACCTAGATGTTGGAGAATACCTATTTTATCTTCTGAGCCTAAGGTTTATTCATGGTATGTCATGGCACTGGGGACTCAAAAAAGGAGACATTAACTTTGAACTTCCCCTAGCAGACTCTAAGGTTTGTCAGAGTGAGTCTTTGGTACTCTGAACAGGCTTCATTTTCTGAGAAGCTAGGATAGTACTACTAAATTAGGTATGAAAGGATAAGCAAGAGTTTGATAACAGGGAAAGATATTTCAGACAGACAGAGGGAACAGAACCTTAGCTATGTGTGACAGCAGTCTACTGTGGCTAGGTCATATGATTCGTTTGTTTTGCTCTGTTTCATTTTTTCAGACAGGGTCTCACTTTGCAGTTCAGGTTCTCCTTGAATGCACTATCTATCCCAGGTTGGCCTCAAACTTTCGGCAATCCTCCTGCCTCAGCCTCCTGAGTACTGGGATTACAGAAGTGCACCATCACACCTGGATAGACTATATGATTTTTTGGGACAACTGACAAGAGAGATCAGCTGGGACCTTGTGCACATGGCCTTGCCTATCCATGGCTTTAGAACTTTGCCTACAGGCAGTAGTGAATCATGTGAAGTTTCTGCTGTGGTTTCTTTAACTATAAAACAGTGGGATCATTCCACCTCAATGCTTGCAGGATTCAGTCAAGTAACCAAATGTTATGCCTGAGGATTAATACCAGTTGATATTGGTCTCAAGCATTGAGACCCATAAGGACAGCTGGGACCATCTATGAGGGACTGAGTAGTTACTAGGTGAAAATGTAAGAAAGTTTTCTCATTTTTAAAAGTGATACCAGAAATCTGGATTTTTATGTGAAAATTTTTCAAATTTTTACATTAGCAATGAATTACAATGTTAAAAGGCTACCTAGATGAATCCTAGGAAACCAAAGAAGACAATGTTTGTAAAGTGCCAGCCCTGATCTCCAGACTGCACGTCTCTAAGGAGCATTCCTGTCCAGCATCCTGTAACTTCCAGCCACCTGTGAACTTTTCAGAAGGAGCACCATGGTCCCCATTTAGTTGTCAGATGGACTAAACTTTATATAAGAATCAGAGTTTCCACTTAACTCTTGGTTGTTGGAGTGCATGTCCTATCAACTAAATTGGAAAATGTGGTGTTTTCTTATTTTCTGCTCTATCCATTTCCCAAACACTATGCACACAGTCCCTCTTTCCTCTCCACCTGAATTAATGTTGGAAGCAGCTAGCATTGCCTTGGCAGCATGATAGGAAAGACTTTTTTTAGGGCATCCGTATCCAATGGGAACTGTATCTGTTTATCTCCTCTACCTGGCATCTGTCCACCGGAAGCCAGGCATATCTGTCTAAATCCCTTACCTTACAGAACTTCTTGTCTTGTGATAACATAGAAGCATTTCACTGGAAAGAACTGGAAGCCACCTCTCCCACCCCACCCTGCAATCTTCTCAGAGATGATTGAGCAACATGAAATATAGTAATTATAAGTTACTATCAAATCAGTTGGCTCCAGATTCATGGAATCAAGAATTAATCTCTACCTCTTGCGTTTTATTTCTGGAGATACCTGTCTCTTAACTGCCCACTTAAAACCACTCATACCACATTCAGAATTTAGAAAGGATTTGATTTTGGCAGAGAAGATGAGCACACAGATAAATGCTGAGGAGAACAAAGCCATGTATTTGTGCCAGCTTTTTGCAGGTTGTGGGGATTAAGCATAAGGAGGATTCTGGCAGTTGGGCTGATTAACTGAAATAAAACATAAGACATGTTTAATGCTCAGCATGATGCTTGGCACATAGTAAATGCTTAATAATTTGTAATTATTCCTACTGCTAAATACCATCATTATCTTAACTTTTACTACAATTAGCATATAATGAGCTAGCTGGGCTCTCTAAAGAATATCATCTATTCTTTAGATTAGATGAATTCTGCTTATAAAATGGAATATGACTAAGTGATTAAAAAGATCCATTGAGCACAGTACTCTGGGATGTACTGTGTCATCGGTGACCGAGCAAGCACTCAAACAGCCTTGTCGTTTGTGGCAATGCCACTCTGTCTGCAGCCAGGTTTTTGCTTTGGTTTCTTCATTTATAAAGTAGTAGGGTTGCCCCAGCTCAGGGGCGATGCCCTCAGTTGCCCAAAAGGATCAACTAAGTAAAAACAAAATGTGGTGCCTGAGGATCTGCGCTCACTACTGCTTGGTCTTGGCATTGGGGAGCCATGGGAATACTCAGGACATTCTATGGGGCCTGGGGTTTGCTTACCAGGGGCTAAGTCATTCTATGAGATCTCGCTGATGCTTATGAGCAGCCATGTATGGTATTTTATTTTCATGTAAAAGACAAGAAAACTAAGGTTTCATTAGAAGTTAGTAACTGGCATAAGGGTCCTGAGCTGTTAGGATTGAGGAGAATATTTCCAAGGCCATTCTCAGGGACAGCCTACTTGCTCTTTGTTCTCTTTGAAACCTCTCTTTAGGTTTAAAAACTTGGTCTGCAGCTCCTTGACTTACCCCTAACAACTGATTATGAATCTTTCACTTAGGTATTTTTCTAGATGTGCCCTCAGCTTTTCAGTAATCGCAGACTCCAGTTTCTCAATGAGAGATCGGTAATGAGTGAGTTAAATAATGAAAAATGGTTCCCTCCTTTGGGCCCTTGCCTGAGCCTGTACCTATTTCCTCTTAAAAAAGAAAAAAAGGAGAGAAAAACAGATGTGTCAGAACAGAGGAGGAACGTCTCAGAGATTGAGAGATACCTCCATTGTTACTGAGTCATCACCATTGATTTTATTACCCGAGGCAGAGCTGCCACCTCCCATGACCTGCAGTCACACTCACAACACAGTTACTAAGCACAGAGCCCTCCAGCACTGGCCAGGCACACCCTGGGAGGCTTTCACAACGTGTCCTTGAGGCTTGGGTATGGGTGTGGGGGTGCCCCTTAGGAAGAC